GTAATAGAAGTTTTTTTGGATAAGCTATTTCAACATATGGTCTGTAACTGCTTGGCAACAATCAGCAAGTAAAACAATTTGCAAAAAGCTAGAATGAAACACCTTTTGCTTGAACAAAATGTTTAAACAAAGTCATGTAATTACATTCTAATCATTCCCCTTTAACTCCCGGCAGTAATTGATTGGACTTGTCCCTATAACATTCATACAATATCCAGCAAATAGCTAATGAGGACACTAAAACTTATCAGGTAGAAGTTGTTATTTTGATCTACCACTAAATTCTCATTACTAATTTACAAGGAAATGTGTAGCAGCTAGAGGGGAGAATTGACCACCAATCTTAGAAGTTAGAGGGTTAACAACTTGAAAAATTAAAAAATGAAAAGATTATGACAGACATCAAATTAAATGGCAAGACACTAGTTGCATATACTTGCAGTACCTTCAACAAAAGTTCCAGTTGGGATGAAAAAAGCTCCAACAATAAGGCCAACATAAATCAAGACCTTGAGACCCCAGAAGCCATTTTGTATTCCAGACCTTGGATCTTTACTACTCTTTACACCATACATGATGAGGCAGAAGAAAAAGAAGAATGCTGCCATGGCAAAGCAGATACGATACACTGCTAGGTACCCAACGAGGCTGTCACAAATCTTGTCTTCTTTCTGTTAAACAGAGTGATAAACAACTTACTGAGTAAAGTTTAAAAAATTATGTCTAAAGCCAGTCAATCATATTATCTACACGATATCCCAAAATTCCTACTAGTGTGTTCAGTAAGATAATCTGAATTTTGTCATTTATCAGTACTCCGAGCTTAAGCCATTTTGGTCCCAATGGTGCCTAGAAAATTTCTGTGTTTAGCAGTTGTGTAACACAAAGTAACATAATTATGATAAAAAATAAACACAAAATTAATAGTACAGTGAAACCTCTGTTAAGCAGACACCCTTGGGACCTTCATAACTGCTCACTTAATAGAGGGTGTCCACTAAATGGAAGTTTGTAAAAATAGCACAATGTTTGTCAATGATTAACATTCAAAGGTTACTCTGTACTGTGATTAAGTTCTATGTTGTTAATGAAGCTATCCAGAGTTCAAGTTCATTACCTTGCACAAATACCAACTTTAATTTGTTGATAATAATGCAAAAACATAACAGCAAAACAGCAACGATTATACATGCAGAACATTGACTCTTTGATTACATTTAATGTACTATTTCAAGGACATAATCCCATATACTACATTGTCAATCCAGTCCTGTGTCTGCTAAATAGGGATTTATAACAATAGAAATGAGCCAAATACAATTCATTTTAGTGTCTACGTCCCCTTAATAAAGATGTTGACTTAATTGGGGTTCGTTGTAAATGGAAATATAAGATGTTAATTTCGGATTTAATCATCCACCTGGGTTGTATTGCAACACACATAACAGTGTCCGCTTAACAGAGGGTTTCTGCTTTATTGTGGGTCTGCCTAATAGAGGTTTCACTGTATTAGTAAAATGCCATAAAAGTGTAAGGCAAAACGCATTGTTCCAGAATTAAAAATGCATCTCATCCATGTCATTGCAGCACAGGGCCAACACACCCTGCTGGCAACTCTTATTGCATTCTCAAACAAATATGACATTTGAGACTGTCTATAACCCCTCTTTAGAATTACCACTACCCTCTCTGGGCTGAGTATGTGTGTTTACTGGAATCTCACTACAAATCGTCTGTAAACTGGGAAACCGCATTAGATTCAAAACGATATTTCTCAAGGGATTGATTAACACCATACAATATGGCCGCTGAAATGGCCGACGCGACATCATGAAAAAAAGAGCAATACTGAAAGTCTCAAAGGAGAAATGGTAATATTTTCCACGTATTAAACGAGAGAATATCTATTACAATATTGATGTGATTTTTTTGCGGTTTGGTAACAATATGGTAAACTGAAAGCTCTGTAGACTTGCTCAGCAGGAAATCACATGAATTTCACTTAAAAACAGACGACAATTCAACGTGTGTTTTCCCCTGAAGCGACTTCTTCTTTCCCATTAGCTTAAATTTAATAGTTAATACAGAAAAAAAAATTTCCTGTAGGATTCTGTTACTAAACTATTATCAAATTTCCTCTTGAATCAGGCATTAGTAGGTATCGCGCTTTACAAGGTATTCAGGGGACGAATTGCTCGCTTTTAGGTGTTTTGAAATTGTAGAACACTTTACTGATCTTACCTCACAAAACTTTGGTATTTTATCCATCTCTTCTCTTATTCCTGGTATGAGCACAATACATGACAAAATTAACCCGAAGAGTAGAAAGATAGAGTAGACAATCCTCGTCGATGTAGAGTTCTTGCATGAAGGGCAAGCGTTACAGCACAAACTACAAGCAGCAGAACCACAACAACATGCTATGTTGGCAGCACAAGTAGCCGCCGAACAAACACCCAGAACAGCTCCCATTTTGAGGAGGAATGTGTTGAGTACTCCTTACTTTCTTGGGGACATAAAATGGGTCTTGGTCGTTACGATGGTTCCAATAACAGATTGTCGCGCAAATTATTGACAGTCTTGCAAGTGAGATTGCGGTCAGCAGTATTTTAAGTAGTATATGACGTATGGTCTCTAATGTTGAAGGTGACGTCTTACTGAAACAGCTATTTTTAGATCTGGGTCAAATCCTTCAAAAGAGCGGCAAAACATCCTTTCAGACTACTTGAATTTCATGTTTTCATGTTTGTGCCACGATAAAAGTGTTCATCTAAAATTTGATTCAAGATGAGAAAGCGTTAGCTCTTAATACAGAAGAGGGAACATGTTTTCTTTTTCATAGGGCCGTACCAGAGCTAGCTCTGAAAAGTAAACACTGTGCAGTTTTTCAATGGTTTTGTCAGCTATGTTTGCAATTGAAAAAAAACTTGTTAAGACAAAACATGTCAAAAACAATTTGTCGTTGATACAAACAAACAAGTAACCCTTGTCAAGGAAAACTTGCTTACAACCGGATTTGATGAGAAAATACAAGTTTTCAAAGAATGTCCCCAATCTTTCTTGCTAAAATTTTTTAATTGACAGGATCAAATATGTTTGTTTACATCACAGTTCAAATAATACTACAGAATAAGTTTCATTTTTTAATAAAAATAGCCATACATTATTTCATTGAAAATTTCTCTTAATTAAGAATCATTGTCTATTTAATATAAATTCATGCAAATCTTTCTTACCATAGGCAATGCAATAAAATCATTCTTGAAAGTCAGAGTCCAGTATTTGATTAATGTCAGTATCTGAGAAGCTGTATACCCTCCTCTCACCTCCCCCTTACTCAACAACAATCAACTGATAACAAGTTCATGGAGGAGAGGAGTAGGTGCACAGATACTAACATTGGTCCCCAGTATTCATGGCTCTTTTTCAAAGCAAAGGGATTTTGCAAGATCCGATGCAAGATCTGCATCATGTCTCCAAACATTAATATACAACAATTAAATAAAGAAATATAATTTAAAAATCTCTAATCATATGTACACTGAAAATTGAAACCAAAACCAATTTTTTAAAATATAATTTGCTAATCTTTCAATATTTTCGAAACCATTGGCTATTCCATTGCAGTTAATCAATACTGCCCTAACAAAAATATTTCTTTTTTCTTTTAATTAATTAAATTTGTGATTCCAAATAATTCATACCCAATTAATTATCAAATTAAATTAATCAAAATTTATATGATGCATATATTTAAATGACTAGTGTGGTCAACTGTTTAGTACTTCCATAATTAAATCAAGTTACCTTATCTTCATGTAACTAAATTGCTAAATTTCCATGCCATTTAAAGTATGATTGAATAAATTACTTGAAAAGACATTTTGCAGATACTTATGACCACAATAAAGTACATCAGCATTTCATAAATAGAAAAAACAACAAATTATCCGACACCTGTGTGTGCCAGTCACAACATAATCTTAAAACTAAGAGTTTGCACACTACTCTAATGATTTGTGAACAAAATTTCTGAATTTCTACCATTAAAATCAGACTACCCTGCCTTATCAATATTGGTAATAGGACCATGTGGAGTCCAATTTGGTCTGTAGTCAAATGAATGATTGCAAAATCAAGCAACTGTGAAGAGGGACTCCCATTTGTCCATTAAAAGTATGATTACAGACCACAATGGACTACACAGTCCTTTTACCAATTAATCATAACTATTTCAATTTCTGAAACAAAAAAATATTTGAGAAAATATCTCCAGTAAAGACATGGTCTAAAGTAAAAAGTTTCTCCACTTTGGAAAGTCCCTAGTTTTGTAGGGTAAGTGGTTGTTGCTGTGGTTATTGTAAATAACTCTGTGATTGGTGAGTTTAATTGGGTGAACCTAGTATGATTGGCTGCTTTAACATTCTGATTATCAGTGTCCAATTGAAGCCAACTGTCTGATTACACTGATTATTACAACTCTACAACTAATTAGTGAAAAATAAAGCAGCTGACGCCCCAATTGCTTTTGAGGAAATTGAAATGGTTATGATTGATCAAATAAATGATTCAGGTCCACTTCATGAGATATATGAATGAAGTATGAATAAAGTCATTTGAAAAATAGATTGATTACATAACTATAACAACGATATAATACATGATTACAATATCTGTTAAAATCAGTGCCATAAACAAAGGAAACTACTGTGTGCCAGCCACAGCCTTTGTAATGATTTGCAATTGAATCTATGTTGAGAAAATAAAGCAATAATCTGAAAAAATTTTGGAAATTGAACTATGAGATGCATTTGAAAAATGAGCTTTCATACAGCTGGAAAATAAAATATCACTCTTAATCGCAACAGTCAAATAATTGGATCAAACAAGATAGATTCCAGCAACAGAATGAACCATAGCTAGAGAGCACAACCAATATTGTTTAAGAATAGAACCATCAGGTTATCAAAAGTTTTAATTTTAAGCCTCATCATGAACTGGGAACTTAGAAAATTGACTTAAGATCTCTAGGGGAAGAACCCCCTTTATCTCATAATCTTCTTGGGTTTCAGACCAACGACTTTACCATCAGCTGCTAGCAAAATGACTGCAAACTTTTCCCATAACAGAAGAAACCAGTAGTAAAAATAGCTCTTGCATCAAGTCATCCAAACCATTAGCTTTTTTTAAAGAATGATCAAAATGAAATCCTTGTTTGTAGAGCTGTTTTAATTTCTCATTATCTTCCCTAATTCCCCGCTAGCCTGATTACCAAACACCAATCTGTATCACAAGCTGTCCCCATTGAAATGGTCAGTGCTATGTCGTATAGCCTTGCCCTTTGATGACGACTGACTACTTTCCTCTCCAAGGCCAGAACATTTTCCATTTTTCCTTGTATCTTTTATTGGTGACTTTGAACTTTCATTGCTTTGCTCCTCAGTTTCTGTCATAATTGTTACATTTTCAGCTATGATTGTGTCATCATCACCATTTTCAACTTTGACTCTGTCGCATTTCAATTCTGCCTTACAGCCCTTCTCTGGAGTAGTGTTTGTTGTATCAATTTTTTCCATGATTGCATCTTTCACTGCAGTTTCAAGTTTCACTTCATATATAGGGGATGTAGGGTCACTCTGTGGTGTTCTCTCATTGGTATTCAAGCTTGTGTTAATAGATGGTGGAATACTGACTGGAACTGGAGCCTGACTAGGTATTGGCACTGCAGGTGACATTACAGACAAAGGCTGTAGAGGAGGAGGTAGTGACATATCTCCACATGTGATTGGCTGCAAGGGTGGTGGCATTGGTAGTGTTGTCATGGGAATGGGATGCATTTGCATCATGGGGGCACCCGCAGCCATTTGTGCAATATTTTCTGGTAGATGTGGCATTCCAGGCTGCAATCCATCCATTCCTGGTGGCATAGATACAATGACAGGCATCTGGCTCATGCCTGAAACCTGCATTGGATGTTGCTGATGTGCGATGCTGCTAATAGGCATCATTTGAGGCTGTGCTGCTACTTGACAGGTAGGAGTGTGTCCAGCTGGCGGTGGTGGCATCATGGCTAGATTGATAGGCATTCCCTGTGGAGAAACACCTGGAACAAAGTTCCCCATTAAAGCTATTCCTTGTTGTTGACCTAGTGAAACCCCACCTTGTTGCCCTGGAACCATTTGCTGCACGTGACTAATTTGACCAGAAGGCAGAGGTATCTGCTGCACATGTTGAGTTGTTACTGCTGGATTAGTCAGTCCAGAAGGATTTGGGAGCCCTGACTGAGGTGATGTTGCCTTAGAACCAGTAGGTACTGAAGTAGTTATGATGGGGTGTGGGATCACTGGTGACATTGCTGTGTTTGGAGTTGGGGATGCCAGTTGACCTGCATTACACAAAATACTCTGACATATGTGCATAAAGGAATAATGTTAACAATGAGTAGAGAAGATGCTTGACTTGCTATTAACCCTTTTAACTCCCAAAAGTGATTAATATGGAGCTTCTCCCTACAATATCCATACATTACTCAGCAAAAAGGTAATGAAAACATTCAAACTTATCAGTTAGATGTTGATATCTTGATCTAGCATCAAATTCTCATTACTAATTGATAAGAAATATGAAGTAGCTAGAGGGGAGAATTAATAATCAGATCTTGGGAGTTCAATGGTTAAGTGTACCACAATTTCACTCTATGTTAAATAACATCTGTACAAAGTTCTCCTTTGATAAGAGTTGATTACCAAATAAATCTTAAATAATTCCTACTGAGCTGACAAGGAAAATTTGTTTATCAATTAAAAGCTTCTTTAGTTGGTGATCATTTCCTTAATTCTCATGACCTTGATGAATGATTCAGAGGTGATATTGTAAGGAAATATTGGATAATTGTAATTGGAGTTTATGGGTTAACTTCTATCAATTGGTTATCCTGTGGTAATCATTTACACTCCAGGGAGGGGAGGGGAGGGGCACTGTCTAAAGTGTCCTGCCTAAGGAAACCTCACAATGATCCAGCCATAGCTAAAAATTGGACCTCTTGATCTAAAGTATCTGGTGCTAGACACTATAAACATGAGAAGACAAGAATAAAGAAATCAATCCCCAGGGTGTCCAAAATGTAAACTGATAAAGGTATTTCCTTGAAAATTGAGGTGGTTTGGCATTCCTTTTCTAAAGTGACTCTCACCTGGTGTTGTAACAGGAGCCTCTGGGAAGCTTGAGGCATCAATTGCCAGCTTAAGTCTGAATGTTTCCTCTTTGCGTCTGTTGGCAAACCAGTTATAAACACGGCTCTCAGTTACAAGATTTGGACCTAGTCCCTCCACATTATCGTATGGTACACCTCTCTGACTGCACTCCGCCCTGTTACAAGCTTCCACCAATGCTTCCCTGAGGTATAATATTTCATGATTAAATTTAAATTGGGCTCTAAATTTTTTTTAATAAATGAGAAGTGAGAGAATACATACATCAACACAGATATACAAGTTTGTGATCCTGTTACCGTTCTTCTTTAGAGGGATTTTTCTGTTCTTCATATGACTGATACAGGATACTTGTCGAAGCTGGTCCCCAT